ATATAGCCATGTTAGAAAAGAAGTCAGACTCACTGTGTTAATTTCTCTGCAAATATATACTGGGTGAAGTCTTGCACTGATGGAGCAAAATACATGCTGTCTTGCACATTAATACATTTCACTTTGATGTGCTCAGAGCTGTTAAACCGCAGTACATAAAAAGGATGTAAAACAGGACCAAATATCTCAAATATCTGAAAAACAAACAAAATTAAGATATATTTAAATAAATTACCAAGAAGATATAATGCCATAAATTTCACTAGTGAGCTTTAAAATATTTTGCACTTAGTAACAGTGCCTGATATCTCTTTAAACTGCAGCACCAAAGCCACACTGTAGTTCTATAATCTCGTTTTCTTTGCTGTACATTTCCCCAACTACCATTTAAGTCCTTATGTGAAAGAGCAGTGGGTATATGAGTGGATATCACCTTCACCCATCCAAATGTACCACTTCCACTGCCTGTTTCATTTATCATGGTAAACTTTTCATTTTGTCAAATCTCTATTCTTCCCTCTCCACTTGAGCTTTCAAGTCTTTTATGCATAGAATAATCTCCTGATTATTTATTTCTCAAAATTCATTGCCACAAGATACCGTCCTGAGAGTTCTCATGCATGTTCCCCAATTACTCCATGTTCTCCATGTAACAGTTCCTTACACAGATAGCTATAGATAGATATATCTATCTATATCCATTTATATGCAGATGGATAGTTCTTTCACTGGAAAATACAATCCCCTTCTCAGCAAATATTGTTCATTCTACTTGCATGTGGCACACACTGGCTTAGCAATGTAACAGCAGCAGCATACAGCTGTGAAAGCTTTCCCCATTTCTCCTGGGAACAGATTCCAAGTTCTCCAATCTTTCCTCCAAATCCTGACAGAAGAGCATAGCCTATTAATATGTCATACATCTGAAGGCAACCATTTCTTTTCCACAAGCCCTCTCATAAAACAGCAAAAACTTATGGCGCCTTTTTCTTTTTTAATTGCAAAATATCACAAAATCCAAGCTACCAATAATTTTAGCCACCAGGTAAAATGACTAGAGATAAAATGAATACACAGAAACAGTCAAAAGCAAAAAGAAAAGCTAAAAATCAAGGAAACACACTTTATAATAGCTGATTTCAAGATTTGTTGGAACATAGAATATTTTTAGTTTTGTCGTGGCTATATATAGCAGTTTTCATGTTTTACACACACCTTGCCTGCTGCTTGTCGATCTTCTTTAAAAATTATGCTGTCTTCATTTACTGGAGGTAGACCTCTCAGAGATTCAATTATTACTACGAGAGAAAAATACATATTTCAATTAGAACTTTCTGCTCTGACAAACAGCAATATGTAGTTAACTGCAGGTAAATAAAAAACATGCACAATTATTTATTAACTAAACTCAAGCAGGCTTCACCTAAAAACTCTTGCACACACCGAACTGCTTACAAATCTAAATTCCTCCAAGTGTCAAGATTTAGACTGGTTTACAGAATTACTTTTCTCCAGTGTAGAAAAAACGAGACAGGATGCTAGAAGTAGAGGAGTCTCAGGTGCATATGTACGGAATATCTGTTTTATTTCCCCAAGCTGTTTCACACTTGAGAGCACCAGAGCAGTAACTATCTTTGACTGTAAGCACACAACTACATTTACTTGAGAGCACCAGAGCAATGACTATCTTTTTCTTTGACTGTAAGCACACAACTACATTCTGCCTTCTTGATATTCAAAAAAATGTGTATGTATCCCCCAGAAACACAACATGGAGGGAACTGTTATAGCTTTTCCTTTTAAGTCCTAAGAACCAGAACAAACTTGCACAAAACACTTGTGGCAGTCCAATCAAAGTAGCTTCTGGTGGTGTTACCCATGTCTGAAGATACACGGTCTGAAGCACATTCCTAAATTTTAAGGTCATATAATTCTCTTGCACTGCATTTGGGTCTAATCTACGACGAATGAAACTATGAGTGGCCAATTAAAAGTCCTATTAAAAGCTCAGGGACAAAACCTTAAGATTTAAGAGACTAACGCACTTACGAAGGGAGACAGAAGTGTGTTCTTGCTGTGATGGATATATAATTTGATATGATTTTATTGAATTCTTTTTCCAGATTTAAAGACTTTACTGAAAAAGTTTTCCAGATTTAAAGTAAAAAGTTTATTCTTTACTGTAATCTTGAGAATAGTTTGTCCTTTTCTTTGTTTTTGCTTACATTTGTTGCTTTAGTCTACAGAAGTATTTTTGGATCCCTTTAAAACAGGAATTCAGCTTAAAGCTGTCAATATAAAGAACCAGCAGCATTACACTCAAGAAATCCGAATTCAGACTCGAAAGGTTTTTTTGCACCCTTGAGACAGCAACACGCTCACTTGAGCATTCTTAATACCCTTCCACCAAATAAAGTAATTCAAACACACTGTCACTATAAGACTGCATTGAAAACAAACAAAATTATGTTTGCTAAAATTGTGTAAAATGACTAAGAGCAATGAATGCAGCATTACACTCAAGAAATCCGAATTCAGACTCGAAAGGTTTTTTTGCACCCTTGAGACAGCAACACGCTCACTTGAGCATTCTTAATACCCTTCCACCAAATAAAGTAATTCAAACACACTGTCACTATAAGACTGCATTGAAAACAAACAAAATTATGTTTGCTAAAATTGTGTAAAATGACTAAGAGCAATGAATGCCTCATTTTGCTAAAACTCTTTCACTTCAGTATTGCTTCTTGTAATACACAAATATCTTGTGACACGTCAAGCTGTGACAATGCTACCACTTAACTTATTGAACTGCATACAAGAGAAGAAGGGAAACTATTTCCTGCTCACCTATAAGACAAAATTTACAAGTAACCAATACACTGCTTGGCTCTCACAAGAGAAATGCCCTAGAAAAAACAAGTAAGGCTCAGAAAATACTCTTCCCTTGAGATGATCATTTATAGCTCCTCCAAGGAGCTACAGGAAACATTCTGCAAACGCAAGTCACTGCAGTCCCATGAAACCTGAGAGAAACATAACCACCTGCAGCATATTTGGCTTATAACTCTGCCCACACTACTCAACACTCCCAGCTTCTGCTTTGCCATAACTCATAGCTCAGTCCCAGGACAGATTTCCGATATGCTCAGGTTGTTTAACTTCCAGACTACAACCCACACTCTGCATTTCTCTCTCCTCTTTAAGCACCTTGCAGTAAAACACCACCAAGTTCCATGAAACTCTCATGTGCTGGGCAAAAGTTAACGTTTACAGAAAAATGGAACAAAAAGTCAGTGCCCAGACCACCAGCTTCAGTTTTCTCAAGCCAACTTCAGTCCCATGGATGAGATTAAACCTTATTAAAAATTAACACCATCAGTGAAGTTTTACAAGGCAATTGTTTGTAACACCAAGATTATTTTGTAGTAAAACAAATGTTAACAGCAAAGACTATACGATTTAATTTCTTGGTATCTCACTCAAAATAAATGGTGCTTAACTTCAGAATTACTTTCGATTTCCAATTTTTATTTGGAAAAATTTATTCCAATTTGAAAACAGTTCAGGCAGTATGGAATATTTCAAATAAGCTTAAGGACAAAAATACTAAAAGAAAAATGAACAGCAGTTTCTGCAAAACCTGTTGAAGTCTGAGATCCAGGCAGACCAGCAAGGACCTTTGAGTACCTGCTGCACAGAACTAAGCTTTTATCTACAGCACGTTGCAATCCTCCTCAGCTGCATCAATTATGCTCTCCTATGACTGCTGACACCAGTACCTCATATTTGGTCAAGGTGCCAGATTTGGGATGAACAGAAAAACGTACACAATGCACGAATTACCTAACAAGCAGTGCAAGGCTTTTCTGGTCATCATTAAAGAGCAAGCACGTGGGGTTACATTATACTCGATCTGTGATTTCAGTTATCCACCTCCTACCTCAAACCAGTTAAATCCAGCATGGAGAACTGAAGGCTTCCCAATATATTGTAAATGCTCAAATCCTATTGTTCCTACAAGTAATGCAGCCATCACAATACAAGGTTAAACTGGTGAAAAAATTAGAACACGTGTCCAACTGAACAACGTGCAGTTAGTACTCATAATGCCATACGTTCCTCAAAATGTATTCTTACTAGCCAACTAAAAGAACTCAGTACAGGTATAATTTGTGGTCTATCCATTAAACGGATTCTCATTGAGGAATCTACTATGGTGCTTCTGTACAAGGACAGGGTATCAAATATTTAAGGGCATTATGAAACAGAATGTTGCAGTACCGACACTTTCAGGGATCCGTTAAATGCGCAGTTTAAATAAAGAGGTATAAAAATACATTTAAAGCAGAAAGTAAATATTTCTTGCCTACCTAAGTGTCCGATAATGCTTGAAACTGTTCCAAAGAGCTTCAGCTCAACCTCATCAGGCAGAATTATTGATAAGTCCTCAACAGGAGGCAGTTCCTGAAAATAAGAGGTCAGGTATTCAGAATACAGAATTCAGAATACATCTTCCCCACAGTAAGACATTCATCATTTTGTTCCTGGCATAAAATCTGACCATCCTTAAAACCTAGTGGTGTTTTTGAAGATTTAATTAAAAATCTACAGTTTGAAATGTCTGCTTTAGAATAATAGAAAATCCTTACAGCTTTTCTTGACTACAAGATATTTGTGGCTCTAAAAAGAACAATTTGCTGATTACAATACTCATGGCCTATTACTGTTATTACCACTTACACATGTCCATACCTCAGTCTTCCCAGACAATCATCTAGCACTTCAGAACAAACACTTAAGAGTGCTAAAGCCAAAAGGTAACTGTATCCAAGCAATACCAGCTCTTCTGAGCTTTTTCTTAGTCATTTCTTGTATTCTTCTATGAATTTCCTTCTAACTCCAGACATTTTTTAAAATGAGTGAAAGATCTATTCCACACAGAATAGCTGATGAAAATTTACTGTTAACATTAAAGTGTCTTATTACCCTTTTAATCATAATCTATCACAAATGACACTTCCACTATCAGATTATCACTAAAAAAAAATCTTTTGAACTGCTTAATTTTTTGATTATGAGTAATAATGGTGACAATAGTTAAGGAGTATGTCATTTATGAGAAGAAAGAGCAAAACACAGCATCTTGATGCAAACTAAGGTTCTGATCTGCCATATCTGAAACAGACCATACCTCACTTCAGAGTAAGTGAACATATCAAAAGAGAACACATTTCAAGTTATTAACTATGTTATTCCTGGACCAATGTAAAAAAGAATATTCCATCACTATTGTTTTGTGATTACTTCAGTACGTTAAGTTGGCTTACTGTAAAAAGGCTTAAAAGATAACACATTTTACTTACTTCAAGTGGCAACTCATCTTTTGGTTTAAAGCTGTAAGATCTGTTATCCTTATCATTTGGGTGATCATCATCTGATATTGCTGAAGGAGAATGCAAGGATGAGGAAGATGTAGTTGATGAGCTATCTGAATCTGTATCACTGTGTAAAGAAAACAATCAAGTTAGAATATTTTCTACATTGCAATTACATAAAAAATTGCTAGATTATATATTACCCAGTCATATTTAAATATCAGATGTATTTTTCTTAAATACATACATTTAAACAGCAGCCTTTTCTGAACCTGCAAGTCTTTGGCCAAGATCATAAAAAAAAGCCTTCAGCAGTTCAAGGAAATGCTAAGAACTACAATGACTTGCTTTGGTTCCCACTGCTTCACAGTTGAACAGGGCACATGATCCAAGGGAATCTCTTCAGCAAGTCATCCCCCTTGCTTCCCTATGACTGGTGCCTCCAGAAGTCCAGCATCCCATGGGCACAGCTCCTACTGTCAGACCCATGAGACACGGTCACAGTTTGGGACCATCATTGCCTCAAGGTGAAATGAAACTGGAGTCACAGGATTATCGCTTTAGTACTTAGTAAAACAGGCAAATAAGGACCACAAGATCAACAGGCTATCGGCACATTTCCATTTCACACACCGCTTAAATGTTGAATACTGGTTATTTTTCTCTTTAAACAAGCACAAGAGAAAAAAATAAAATACCTTAACCTACCTGCTGCAGCTCAAGACCATTCTTGCTGCATAACACCCAATATTAGGCTCACGCTAAGCAATAGCCAAAAAAATACTGATTCCAAGGGAAGCACCTTACATTGAACCCCACATCCAGCCTTGCTACTCTCCAGCAATAACACGAAGAGTGTCTTATAACCACCCCAAGACAAAAGTGTTGAACAAAACACTAAGCCTGTCGTGGTGACTGACCCAACAGAGATGTTCTGCAGGTCAGTAGCACCAAATTCAACCTCTCCCTCAAAACTGTATGCCCTCCTGGTCATTATTTTGGAGACTTGTTAATGAAACGGTGGCTCTATCACCGTAGATGTGTTAGTCAAATATAACAAAAAAATACATCATTTGAAATGATGCTCCATTTGGAGATAACTAACAATCTCCAGTATGTGCTGCCATGCAAAGTTTAAGAAAAACGATGCTAGCCTCTCTTGGTTCTCCCAATCACAACAAAGAGTTGGAAGTGCTACCAGAACAGTAACAAAGATCCAACTGAGCAGCATCTTAAGCTTCTTTTGGAAAACGTTAAGCTGAGAACACCGTGAGAGGAACAAACAAACCCTATGGCAAAGTACACCTGGTCTAGACTCAACCCAAGAGCAAAACAACCCCAGATCAGCTTGGGAGGTCCACAGGGTTCTCCCTGCAGCCATTGGAGGTCCCTGCAGACGGGAAGCCACCAGCGCAGGGCGCTGCCATGGGGCAGAAGGGAGACGAGGCCCCGCAGGGCGCTGCGGCACGGGGCTCCGCACACCCACCTGCTGTCCGACGAGTCCGACGAGGGGACGGCGGCTGGGAGCCCCCCGGGCCCTGCGGGCAGCGGCGGCTCCTCTGTCCGTGGGGACGTCTCGTGCGGTGGCGACACCCCTTGGGCCAACGGGGCCCCTTCCCGCGGCGGCGGCTCCTCTTCCAAAGGCAGC